GAGGACTGTAATGCCTCTTGCATGCAAATCCGCGGTAAAGCAGAGCTGCAATTCATTACTTCCACCAGGCGGTTCGCTGAATCCTTCTTCCATTGCACAAAATGAGCGTTGAGGTCCTCGCACGCAACTCCATGAAATTACAGTCCGATACAACACAACATCAGGAGTAACAAGAGCGACAACTCAATCCCCTTCCACACATTCATCGTGGAACGGGAAAAACTCCTGAAAGCACCCGCTCAAAATGAAAAAAAATCGATAGAAACAACGAACAACGACACTTTCGGTGCGGTTAACGATGGATGGCTGTGGTGTGCAGCACAGCCGTGGCCCCTCAAGCACCTCAAACTTACTAATTCCACGTGGTGTACGTCACATGGCGGCGTGATCAATCATACGGCTCGCACTGGATGAACGGTCGAACAGGCTCAGTGCGTCTGAGCGGGCGTCACCGGCCATGAGCTCCTGCTGTGCGGGTGGTCGGTACGACGACGCAACGGTGGTGCCTGAGGCGTAAGACGATGACGTCCTGTCGTCGTGGGGCTTCCGCGTATCCTCGTCGCTCTCCTCGTCATCGCGCAGCAGCGCCTCCAGCCCACCACGCCGCGGCTCGCGCAGCTCCTGCCAGCGGCGGTCCTCCGCGTACCACACAACGACGCCGTACACAGTGATCGCAAGCAGCACGGCGGTCAGCAGCAGCACGATAGCCGCGTACGCCCTCGCACCGCCGTCGCTCGGCGCAAGGTGGTTGGCCGCGCTGATCACGCACAGCGCCGCAAGGAGCACAAAGCTCGCAGTGCGCATAACCGTCAGGAAGGCCGAGCGCATCATGTTCGTGAAGGCAACCACGCCCGCACCCACAAGCAGCACAGCCGCCATGCAGAAGTACTGGACGTGGCAGCCTCCCACGGGCGGGTGCACAGCAGCAATCAGGCCCACCACACACAGCACCGACAGCTGGAACACGCACCAGTACACGTGGCTGCCCCTCATGTTCGTCAGCATGCCGCCGTACATCCGCTGCTGCGCCGCGGGGTGCCAATACCCGACGGGGTACAGCAGGCGCTCGTGCAGCGGCTTCCTAAAAAACTGCCAGTACCTCTCGAAGCTCGCGCCCGTGTGGCGGGCAATCAAGTAGCACACGCCAGCAGGGAACGCCACACCGTACAGCACGCCAACGACACCGATCACGCGGTGCAGCACGCGGGCGCCGGGCGTCGCCAGTGCAAGCACAGAGCCGAAGAAGATGCCGAGGTGCATCGCGTGCGCCACGACGTACGTCAGGCTCGGGAAGCGCATCGCCGCCCACGCACTCGCAGCGTCCACGCCGCGCCACCGCTGGAAGGCGGCCGTCACACCGCAGTGCACGCACCCAAACACAGCGGCGAGCAGCGCGTTGCCTACCAACATCCACAGCGGATCAATGGCAGCGAACACCGACAGGAAGTACGGCAGCGCAACGGTGATCGCACGCTCCTGCGCCAAGGCGCACGACATCCTCGCAAACACGCCGAGTGCCTGCATCTCCAGGATGGATCCCAGCCCGCCGCTCACCACCACGGCAACAGCCGCCGCACCCGCAACAACGCCGGTGATCGCCGAGAGGGCGCTGGCAGCGGCGGGCAGCGTGTCCGACCTGATCGTGAAGGACCCAAGCAGCACGCCCTTGCAGCCGCCGGACACCGCCGCAGCGTCGCAGCGAATGATTATCGTCTCGTCGGCAGCAATGAAGTAACCGCGGTGAACGGGCACGGCCAGCTCCAGGACGGTGGACGGATTCGTCGCGTTGCGCAGCATCGCTCCCCACGGACCACCGAACCCTCTCGGCTGCGCCGTCGACACCGGCACAAAGCTCAGGTGCGTGCCGAGCTGCGGGTCGCGTGCCCACCGAAACGGCGGCGGCAGCGCCACCATCAGCAGCGTCGGGACGGCGCTCCCACCGCCGCGAATGTCGTGCTGCGTCAGGCTCCCACCAGCCGCCGTCGTCGTCACGGCGAGCGTCGGGCACGCCACATCGCTCCACCACAGCGTGCTGCTCACCGACGCCGTCGGGGTCCGCGTGGGCGACAGCGCCACCGTCCCCGTCCCCTGCAGGGTCTCCGTCGGCCTGTACTGCAGCGGACTGTGGTGTGGCGTGCTCTGGCTCGGCGTCCACGTTGGTGTCGGGCTGCGCGTCTCCGTCAGCGTCGCCGTGTGGCTCACCAGCGGCATGCCGGGAGTGCGGTTGCACCCATCCACGTGCGGCAGGTACACCGGCAGGCAGTCGCGCCCGTACCCGCCCTCAGCACAGCGGCAGCGACACGACCCCGACATCGCCCTCGTCGCAGCAGCAAAGCAGCGCACGTCGGCGTCGCACACGCCACACGCCACGGGGCGGAATTCCCCGATGATGCCGGCGGACCTGTAGTCCATCGGCCGCAGCGCCTGCCCGTTGAGCGCCAGGCACCCCACGACGAATCGTCGGCCGGCACCCCCAAGCGCAACGGTGCCGTCCATCACGACGGGCCCGCTGCCGGCGTTCCCGTGGAGCGTCAGTGTGCTCTGCACGAGGTCCGCACTGCGCGGGTACGACGGCACCGACAGGAGCCTGCCGCTGATGCTGTTGCCGCGCATTGACAGCCACGACCCGGACACAAAAGACGCCGACCCCCGCAGCACCAGCAGCGCGCCATCGGTCAGCGCACCGGCGTTGTCGCTCACCACGACGGCGGACGCGTTGGCCTCCACCCCGTTGTCGAACACCAACCCATGCGCAGCGTACACCTGGCTCCCCGACACGCGCAGCACAGCGCCCCCCGACGCCACCACGCACGCACTCGCGTACAACGCATATTCGCCACCGAGCACAGCCGCGTCCAGCGCGACACCGCCACCGACAAGCTCCAGCACGGCGCCGTCCACCACCACCGTCCGCCCACCAGTCATCACGGTCACGAGGGCAACGCCGAACACAACCAGCACGGACCGCACAAGCCGCAGGCCCGACAGCACCAGCACCGGTGCGTACGGCGAGGACTGCGAGCCAGGAAGATATACAAGCGGCGTCGACCTCGCGGCAACCAGCACGGAGTCCGTCACCGTCAGCACGGACCCCGCGGGAAACGTGCCGGTCAGCACAAGCGCACCGTTCAGCGCCTCCACGTCGCACACGGACAGCTCCACCGGTCTGCCCTCGTCGCTCCCCGCCGCCCCCGCACCGCGCAACGCTCCACCGCCCATCACGTACAGCACGGCACCGTTCAGCAGCGACACGTTCTGCACAACGATCCGCACGCCGTCCCGCGCCATCCACGGCACGTAGAGCACAGGACTCACGCCGTCCAGCACAACGTGGCGCAGCGTCACCTCGCTCGCACCGGCAGGCACAACAAACACCGACTGCACCGTCACGCCCTCGCGAAAGAACACTCTCGGCGCGGTGCCCACAGCAGGCGGTAGCGCGGGAGCGCCCACAGGCACGCACGCCTCGCCGTACCCGCCGCTGCCGCACGCGCACACGCACACACCGTTCTTCATGCTCGCCGACGCCGTCCCGGGCGCGTAGCAGTGCGTGTCCCTGT